CGCAGACCCCAGACCCGTAACCACAAGTGAGAAAAGGAAATGCCCTTCTCTTTGAAAAGTAAAAGAAAAAAATCTTTCTTTGTTATAGTGAACTGGGGGTGGGGTGGGGTGGGCAGGGAGAACAATGCAACAATAAATGAATGGAAATCCAAAGTCTCTGTAAACTTTCATTAAAATTAATAATAATAATAAAAAGAGAGGAATATGAAACTCCCCAGAATTGTAGTGACGGGAAAAAAGGTGTTTTGCTGTTCTAAAGAATAATCTGTACAGATCAGAATTGTGCAGAGTGATTTCAGGAAGGAAGTCCCTGAAAATAAAGACAAAATTGAGAAATAAAAGGAAATGCAAAGAAGGAAATGCCGATTTCTACTCGCCAACCTCTTTAAGCTGTAAAATGAACAGCCAGAGGTAATGTGTGGACAAATGGCCTCTTTCTTCCTTCTCCTCCAACCACATCATCTCAGGCTGTAGATGATGCCTGGTACTCACATGGGGAAGGAGCTCTGCATTGCCAGTCCAAAGGCGGGCGGTTCAAATCCACCAGCTGCTCTGTGGAAGACGGTTGGACAGTCTTCTCCCCTCTGACTGACAGCCTCTGAGAGCCCATTAGAAGGTCAGTCCATTTCAATTCAAAGGAGATGAAAGAGAGAAGAGGCTTGAAAGCTGCAGCTTGTCCTTTCCACTGGCCACCTCTCCCATGCTCAGCGTCACAGTGGCCAGTGGCCCCTCACTGGACAGTGCACACGTGGAGCATGACTGTCACCACAGGACTGCATAGGCTCATACAGGGCTACATAGAGCCCTTCCTTTTGTCAAACCTTGAAATTCTCTCCTGAAAGATAAGCTCACTGGCTTAGTTCTCTCATACTCTAATCTCTTCATTATGTAGATCGATTTAGCCTCTCAGCTTTTTCTTCAGCCAATTCCAGATTTCCCAAAAAGACAAGATCCAGAGAAGTGACAGAGCCACTGTGTCTCCAGTGAGGAGACACTGTGACCTCATGGCAAGTCTGTGACTCTGTAGACAGAAGGCCCCTGGGAACCAGGCATTATCTAAGCGTGGACATGGGAACATTCACACATCAGCACACACTGCTCCTGTGCCTGGCTCGTGTTTGCAAACCAGCACTAAACATGTAACAAGAGTAGGGAGTTAGTGGGTTTAAATAGACTCAAAAGATCTCTAACTTCTAGGGGTTCACTATAGGCATGGGGGAGGGGAGGGCGGTGCAACAATCTTGCATCAAAAGTCGTCATTGCTGCTACCTGAGAGTTTACTAGTTGAGAACCACGGGGCTGATTGGCCAAGTCGGTGTGAGCAGTTAGGAGGTTTCTGTACTGATCACCCTGATCTCAAAGGCATTCTGCACCCTCTTTCTACTGTGGAGTGGACAATACTTTGTTATTGTTTGTAAGCAGGAGGGAGAAACAATGAAGGCTTTAAGATTCGTCCCAGGGGAAGCCACTGGTGGGGACGGGCTGCTCCCCCCACAGTGTCCCAGCACAAGATCCTGCTGTTTCTGGGGTCCAGCACAGTTTCCCCTGGTAGACCCAGCCTCTGCCGGCAGCCCAGACCTGAGGCTTTAAGACTAAAATCAACTCCTGCCATCCTTCCATCCCCAGATGAGCATGTAAATGTCTAGCAACAGGCTGGAGTGGGGCACTCGGAGCTTTGATTTGGGGGGGGGGTGTGTGCATCAACTTCTGCAGTAGAAATACCACCACCAGGCCCATTTCTGGTCACAATCAGCATTCCCAGCCTGTCCAAGCTGGCCTGAGCTCACTCCCGCTCTGGCCTGGAGCAATGCGATGAAACTTAGTCTCTGGGTTCCCTTGGAGCTTTTCAGCCTTTCCAGAACTTCTGTTACTAGTTCCCTGGATAAAAGTCTTCCTATTGCTACCCGGCGTGGCCTCTGTTGTCCTGCTGCATCCTGAATGTGTATCACTAGGAGTATTTAAAAATAAAAAAATATCGGAGCAGAGATTGTGAAAGTACCAGATGGTACATCAGCCGCAGCACCAAATGTGTGGTCTAGGCCAGCTAATGGCTAATACTCTCTAGATAAACAGGCAGGGAGTCTATCTATAACCTGTCACATAACCCGTGACTTAGTGTGGAATGGTTTGGACTGGCAGTGGGCTGCAGAACTTGCTTTGGGAAACACTTGTTAACAGGGGACTTTAAAACGGCTATTTAGCAAGTGGAGCAAACCTTCTGGTCTGCCCCATGCTTTGTCCCATGTCTTGTCCCTATGGTCCTCCGACAGCATCTCTGCTAGCTACGCTTTCAGGAGTCAGGGAAAGGCTGATGGTCACTACAAAGGAGATGTTACAACAATGTCATGTAAAATGCAATATTTTTGAAGCAATTTCCATAAAACATAATTAAGTAAATGTATTTTATGTGATATCATAATGATAAGTATTATTATAATATGGAAAATGCATCATTAGGCAATTGAAGCATCCCAAAATCATGTGAGAAGATGTTATTAGAAACAAAGACTGAAAAAGAACATATATGAATAACCGCTGAATGAAGGAAAACAAACTTGAATTAAGGAAATTAGAGAGTCATAGAGGTGAATTTTCTTCCCTAATTTTCACAGTGATTTTTGCCATATAGGTTTTCCGTTTATGTCTTGTAAAATGAACACAAAACCCATATAAACCTAAGAAGAAAAAGGCCCTCACACAGGAAGATCGCGGCAAACACTGCTTCATTTCCCACCCGCGGCCGGGGCACCCTGCAGGCATAGGGAGGCCATTCGTTCGCCACGTGCGTGCGTTGCCCTCATCTGAATTTCCTTTGCTCACCAGCGCCTGTCAGGCCTCTCTCTGGGCAGTCACTGATGCCTCACACATGCACCAGTAAGCTTGCTGCCAGTCTCCTTTCAGAGCAGAGCAGATCACCACCTCCCAGCTGTTTGTAAACAGGAGAAGTGGGGGGAGTGGACAACGTGTCCTCAAGGCTCTACCGCATGCCTGGCCCACTCGTCCTTCTCAGCAAGCCTCCATCACATTCAAAGTCCTCTGGTCCTTGGCTTTCCAAGGAAGAAGGCCACTGCCGTCGTCACTGCACGCTCTGTTTCTCCCGACTCCAGCCTCCACCGAGACCAGAACTTTAAAACACGACTTAATTAGATCACGTACTTAGAAGACATTAACAAGGACTAAAATCAAGTCCTGATCCAATTTGTTTTAATGTGTAAGTAAATAAACAAGAATCCAAATGCAGGATTCATCCACAGCTTTGAGGCCCAGACCTCCAGAGAGACGCACCAGCCCCCAAGCCAAAAGGGTAAAACTGTGCAAAGAGCCTAGGACTGTGTTGTTTGACCACCCGGATTTGTGCTAGACTCCCACCCAGAAGCTGAACAATCCTGTGAGGGTCATACGACCTCCTGCACCCTGTTTTCCTCATCTATAAGACAAGGGTAATATATCACGGGATTGTTGTGACAGCCAAATCACTTCCCATGAAGCACTAGGACAGCAGCTTGCACTTGGTCAGCACCAATGCTCAGCTAATGTTAGTGGACTCCTCAGTCCAAAATACCTTCACCAGTGAGAGGAACACCTGGTCAGATGGAGTTTTGCTGGCACAGATGGCCAATCCCCCACCCTTCCCGGGCTGTTCTGTGTGGTGCCAACACAGCTTAGAGTTTAACAGGCAAATGAGTCAGTCTTTATTTGAAAAAACTTAGTGGAAAAAAAACCAAGACAAGTCTCAACAATCTACAGTCTCTCTCTTTTTGCAGAAATGCACTACTACCCACCCCATGCCCACCACCGCTGGCCAGCTGCTGCATGCCAGGGAGAGGGTGTGAGAAACACCACAAATGTTCTGCACTTGCACCTGGGGGACCTGCCTACCCTCCAAGGCCAGTCAAAACTCCGGGCTGATGTCCTCACTTCCGTCTCTGGCACCACAACCTCCAGCCTGCAGGATCTATGGGTGATCTCCACAGGGAAGAGCCAGCTTACTTCCATTTCCATCCGACCCGGACTGAGGACGGCCATCCAGCACAGCCGCATTAACCCAGGGAGACGGGACAAGGCCATTTCTTCAGTCTGGAAGCGGGGCTTCATCACTGTTGGGGGGACTGGACACTGCTCTCTTGGACTTCTGGCTGTTAATCAAATCCACAACGCCCCAGCAGACTCCACCCTTGCCCAAAGATCCAAAATTTCCCGGCTCTGGCTCCCCTTGCACTATTCTGTTTTACACTGGTCAGAGGATGGCCTTTGAGGCCTAGTCTCTACTCCTCAGCTCTGAGCAAACATTCCTCATGGCGAGTACCCAGTCTGGCTTCCAGGACTGACACTTGGACCCACCGCAGCCTGGAGTCTGAGACCCTGTGGAGCGTCTTCCCCCTGCCTGTCCTGGTCCTCTCACCCAACTCAGCACCTTACGGAAGGGACTCCATCCAGTGGGCTCGTTCCACCCAAGAGGACACCTTTATGCCAAACCACCACGTGCTTGTTCCTTGTGAATTTCCTTTTCTAGACTTCTAATCGTCTAAACAACTCTTATGAATCTGTCTTGGCCATGATTGATCCTTGAACAATTTTTTTGGAGCGTCAACAGTCACCTGAGCTCCTGAATCTCTGGCTGCCTGTTCCTTGTCAATGGCCGAAGACCACACACACCATGCCCTGTACTTTATCACCCACGTGCTAGGGGTGAAGTGAGGGCCAAACTCAGAGATGGTGAGATCTAAGGAGACAGAACAAAGAGGGTGTTGTAAATATTTCTTGGTAAGTAAAAAGTTCTAGGCTCTCAGAGAAAGGTTGAGTGTAAAAATATCCACAACATCCAAACAGCCACAGGAAGGAACAGCCACACGAAGGAAGTATAAAGCAGAAACTGCATCCTGTTCAGTTCTACAATTTCCCACGTCATCAAAACAAAGCCACACAAAGACAGAAAATGTCAAAGCCTTTGGAGGTAATCACGCAGCCACTCCGCTGCCCACTCTGCTGGACAAGCCTACCTCGAACCACTGGCCGTGAGACTGCATCTTGAGGACGACACAGGGGTCTGGCTTGGAAAGGGCATCTCTGTCGGAAATCCCTTTGCACGCCACACGCAGCTCCACTTTGGTCAGGCAGGGACTGTTAAAGATGCCCAGCGTGTTGGCAGCTGACTCGTAAATGTTGCTCATCTTCTTCATCCTGTGTTCAGTGAGAGAAAGAGGAAAACGATGTGCCAATCATGGCAATATTTGAGAAAGGCAGAAGCCCCTTAATCACCCTCGAGCCAATTATTCTATGCAGAGGCCTAAATATTGTAGGGGTTTATTATCTCCCGTTCCAGCCCAGTGGCACAGGCCCAGTAAAACAAACAAACAAACAGGCAGAAAAGAGGCAGGTGCTGCTTGGTTAAGAAGAGTATTTTCCTACATGATTTGCATACATTTGCATAGCACACTTTGAAGCCTGTGAAATTATATTAATGAATTAGTGCAATAGACTGAAAATTGTAATCTAGTTCCATATTAAATGCCTGGGGTGTGTGAAATTTTACAGATCCGTTGGCTAATCAATTCAGTTATATTCCAAGTTTGCAGGATTCACTGAAAAGTCAACTTTCCTGGTAATGCAAAAGACATCTACAAAATCTTAAAAAGCAAAATTGTTCCTTTTAGATCTGTAGAAAATTCTTGTCTTAGCTGAAGAAATGGCCCAAATTTGCCTTCTCTAAATTCTGGCACACTTCTCAACACATCAGCAAGGCAATTTCAAGACGAAGACCCCCAGACCCTGAATCTGAAGTCCTGTGTGAGGCACAGGAAATGGATTCGAGAGAACTGAGAATCCCATGGATGGACAAATAAACAAGCTAATCTGTCTTGGAGAAAATGCAGCCAGCCTGTTCCTGGGAGGCACGGATAGGAAGCTGCGTCTCACGTACGTGGGACTTGTTAGAAGTCAGACCTTGGACATGGCCCTCATGCTGGGGAGGGTGAGGGAGAGTGAAAGAGAGACCTTCGATGAGATGGACTGACATGGTCTCTAACAACGGGCTCAGGAGGGTCAGAGATGAGGAGGCTTATGTGGGACAGGGCCAAGTTCAGGTCCTGTTCACAGGGTCGCTGAGAGCTGTGGCTGAATGAGTAGCATCTAACAACAACAACTCCCCTGTCACTTCCACTTGTCACATTACTCAAAACCCTCAAAGCCATTGCCACGGAATCGGAATTGACAGCTAATCCTCCAGTGTGTTTTCAGAGGCTGGAACGATTGCCCATCCTCCTCCCTAGGAGAAGCTCGTGGAATCCCAGCACCAGCTGGACACTGTCTCAGGGTGAGCAGCGCAGCTTCCGTGAGCTCAATCACATGGTTGTTCTTGTCAGGTGCCATCGAGTTGAGTTTGAGTCATAGCGATCCTTTGAACAACAGATCGGAGCTCTGTTCTATCCTGTGCCATCCTCATCATCTCTGACACACGTAAGGCCATTGCCACATTGTTGTTGCTGTGTGTTGTCAAATTGGAACTGTGCACAGCTGATCTTCCAGTGTGTTTTCAGAAATACAAACTGCTTAGAAGGAGATTGACCATCCTTCTACCCGGGAGCATCTGGAGGATTTGAACCACGTGCTTTGGGGATTTTAGCACAGCTTCTTATCAACCAGTGAGGAAGGCCTGCAGGTTGCTGGACTGACCATGACTGTGCCGACGTGCTCTAGCGCAGCATGGATGGGAGGATGGCCGGGATCAGGCAGGGCTCATTCTAGTGAACACATTGTCCTTATGTCTCGAGCCCACATGATGGCACCTGACAACACCAGCCCTCCTATTTGGTTGAAAGCGATGGTAATCTAGTCACACGTGATAAGAAGTCAGTCAATTCTTTTTTTCAATGCACAAGATTTAAAAGTAGGTTTATATACTCAATTATTACAAATACATCTTTAATTAAGAGTACATAGTACTCTGAGTTATTAGTTGATTATGGTGAGTTGACATAATTTATAAATGAATAAACAAATGTTCCAGGCTTGCATGTTTAGAAGGCTTTTTTTCTACTGCTGAAGTATATGATTTAAATTTGGGGGGCTCAGTCCTTTAGGCAATGGGAAACTCTGAGGCTTTGGTTACTTATTTGCCAAATAAGAAACTGACAAAGATCAGTGTGGTCCTCACATCTAGCTGCCTGGATGAAAGAAGAGAAAGTCTGTGACTGTCTAAGACTTTGAAGGCAGTCATCATCTCCCCTCCCCTCTGACTCAGCCTCCACGGCCTTCTTCTGGGCCCCAGGAGGCTGACCCCTGCACACTGATTGCTTATTGCTGGCTAGATTACTGATGGGACTGACTCAAGACATAGACCCGACAGTAGGAGAGAGGACAGCATGTCCTTGTGTGACCCTCTCCCTAAACATGGGCAGAATCTACGACTGTGATTTCATCAATAAAAAGCTAACGTGATGACATTCTACAGTTGAGTGGTGATTACGGTCCTCAGTAGAAGAGGCTGAGGGGAACTGTGTCTGCCATCAACAGTGAACTTGGAGCGGAATGGTCTCAGGTGAACCCCAGTGGAGATGCAACTCTGGCTGATGTTGCATTGCAGCCCCACGTGAGACCCTAAAACAAATGCTATGAATTAAGTCGTGTTCCTTTTCACTCCCCAAACGCGTTGAAATTCTAACTCCTATACCTGTGGATGCAATCTTGTTTGGAGACAGGATTTTATTTGCTATGTTAATTAGATTGCAGCCCAGTAGGCTGCATTAGAAAAAAGTCAATTAGACACAGAGCGCATGTGGGAGAGGACAGACGCCTTGTGAGAGAACTACCAGGGAGCAAAGAACGAGAGGTACCCCAGACCAGGGCAGAAGTGACCTGGTCAGGACCCTGCCTTGGACGCCTGGCCTCTCACGCTATGAGAAAGTCTCTGCTCCAGCAGCACTGGGCACCACGACAGCAGGGAACTGGCAACTCCAGGCCGACCCCTGGCTCACAGCAACTGTGAGGTGAGACCACGCTTCACTCTGTACACAGGGCTGCTGGGTTGGGACCAGCTTGATGGCACCTAACAGCAATTACAAAATGTTCAAGAACTGTGTCTAAGACGTGGTGCGGCTGTTTTAAGCGGTTGTGTTTGAGAGACAAGCTTGTAATGCAGCAATATCTGCCTGTTATTGTGTACTTGGAGCAGAACCAACCCAGAGCTGCCCCTCTGGTGGGTTTTCAGGGGCACAGAGGAGACTGCCCAGCTTTCTCCCTCAGAGCAGCAGGTGGATTCGGCCATGGACCCTGGTGCTGGCACTGCAATTCCCTGGCACCACCAAGCCCTAAATACTGAGGAATGGAGCCCTGTCAGGCACACAGCAGTGCGTAAGGAGTCCCGCATCTGAAGGTGTTTGCGATGGAATAAACCAAACTGCTTTGAATTATCTCTCAAAATTGCTTCTAATAACTAATATAATATGCAATTAAATATAATAAGCAATTAAAAATCTACTTTGTCCTCTCTCTTAAATTTGCTTATAATAACTAACAAATTTAAGAGACATTGCAAATGCAGGATGTTTCCCCCAACACCTTTAGCCCAGGGACTACTTCTGCACCTCACTGGCCCAACGTGCCCAGTCTCTTCTGAGGAATGCTCATGTCTACGGCCACATGACCCCGGACGTGCCCCGTTCGTCTGCAGAGGCTCAGCTCATCTCCTTACAGCCTGTGAAGAAACCACACTGTGAAGCGCTCAGCCTGCCAAATGCTCAGGACTGGAGAGGCCCTGAAACCGCTCAAACTCCTGACAGAGATACCAATGCCACAGCGTTACCTCTGGCCAGGGCCCTCACAGAGCGCAGGACAAGGAGGCACAGTTACCCGCCAGGCTGTGCCCTCCCGATTCCCATAAGGCACAGCTCTGACCACCACACTGGCATGAGGTAGGGAGCCCAGAACCTGATTACAAGTTTCTCACTGGAAACAGTGCTTGTATTCTAATGCCAGTCTTCTGTCCATTGAAGGTGTCTCACACACCACAGTGCTCTCAAAAACCCCAAGCTCAAGGTCATCTCATCAGAACTGACTCACAGCTGACCTCCAGCAGGCTTTAAGAAGATACAAACCACATGGGAAGACACTGTCCATTTTTCCCCTGAGGACTGGCTAGGGGATTCGAACTGCAAAATAGGCACCACCCTGGGCTAGCAGCACAGCGCTCAGATCTTAGGAATGAAAACACCAGCCACGAATCAGTGCAGCTCCTTGGGCACCATAGGTGACAGGCTGCTCCAGTTCCGAATGGTCTGTCTGTCTGTCTTTTATCTGGTTGTACTTTGACAAGAGCCACTACAGTCTCCATGTTCCAATTTGGAGTGTCTTACTCTCCTAGAACAATCTAGGAAAATGAGAGCCAGAAAGGGAGGGGAGCAGAAAGCCCACAGCTCCCTACTTCTCCCAGACACATGTAGGGCATCCCTGTTGGCCTCCCCTGTCCATGTACAGGGGAATGTCCTGATCAGGTACTGCAATGCACGTTGGCTCCTAAGCCTGCCCAGAGGTACCTGCAACCTTGACCTTGACTTCTGCAGTAACACAGGTCAGTGGAGGCAGATTGGCCTTGGCATGAATAAAGCTCACTGGGGAGAAGTGACCACAAACTAGGGCTCTGTCGATGAGTGATCCACTCCAGCCCCAGATAATGTGGAGTAAACAAGTCATTTCACACTCTCTTAGAGAACAGCATTAATACAGCCAGATCACCAATACATTTTCCATGGCCTATTTAAATCCTTTCTGTTGTCTTTCATACAGTACCCTGGTTTTACAGAGACTAATGCCAGCCAAGCATTATTTTGGTGAAAGCTGACTTATGGCCAATTTTAGAAGCAAATTATAATTTTCCCTTCACACAGATAATTTACATTTATATGTGTACACACACACACACACACACACCAGTTCAGCATATTCATAGTCTGATCCTGAAACCTAATTAGTTTCTGAATGAGCTGCAAACAATGTCAAGACAATAGACAGCTCAAGAGGAAGGGATTCAGCTTGAGTTCACAAGGGAACCAACAGAGCAGAGTTTGTCTTAAAAGAGTAAGTACATAATCACCACCCTGCTGGCCTCAACATTATTCAGACTTTCCAAACGCCCAGAACATCTGGGCGAGCTGGGGAGCTGATGTCTCTATCACACAGCATTCCCCCTC